ACTCCAATTTTTCTAGTAACTCTCAATGAAATTTGTCAGTTATGTATCTAACAATTTGGACCAGATGCTTGAAGCAAAGACAACTTTAGCTTATACCTTTTTTTTGGTTTATGACAATTCATTTTATTGGATGTTTGATGTATTTTAAGGCCAAATTTTTTGTTCTAATCCAAGTTTAGAACAAGAAGTATTATCTCATGCCAGATTGCTAGTATTTAACTGCACCTTTTAAACATAAGGAATTTTTTAATTTGCTGAGTCAATAATCATTCTCATATAGTCTTATGATTCTTCAGATTTGATAATTTACATTTCTATTAATAGAGACCATACATATTTTTATCTTATTACCTGAATGGTCACTCCACACAGCAGCGTAAAGACTACTGAATTTAAACTTCAAGTTTTAGTAATGCAAGCTTTTGTAGCATGTGTAATTCCTCACTGTATTTTTAACATCTCTATGAACAGCGTTAAAACTCCTGAAATCAATGGGTAAAGTGGGCCATGCATCCTACAACACAGATGTGTTTTGAAAAGAACAAGTTAATCTCAGTGGAATTCTGCCCATTGCACATTCTTACACATGAGGCCATTACAGGATCACACAGATGCTGACGTGTCATCTCTAAAGCACTGGGAGGAAAATCTTTGGATTTGCTGCTGCTTTCCTGGAAGTGGCGACAAACCATTACCTAGGAAAAAACTGGTTTTAATTTTCTCTTGAAGTAACTGTGTAGTAATGATTTTATTTTTAAACCTTCAATTATTTTTGTTATGTCTGGCAGTAATACCAACATACAAAAATCATTGTATATCATAATATAAGTGTGAATGCAGTTGTTAATGGATTCTGATAGAATTTCAAATATATTACAAAATTATAATGGCTTTATACATGGTAAGAAGTCTCTTTTGTAGACTGTGTTTGTCACTTTTTGAACTGGAGCTCTTGTGAATGAATCAAGTGACTGAGGCTGAAGCCCCTTTATAGAGCTGTGCAAGGGAGAAAACACTAACTACAAATCAATCTCTGTGATTCAAACTGTCTCAGGAAGTATTAGTAGACTCACAAAACAGAGGCTCACTTGGAAATGCAGATATCTGAAAGTGGATGGGGAAAGTGAAGTAGTAAGTCAGATGTTTGGAACATAAACTAGTCATAAAATAGTATTAAGGACAATGATTATCACTTGGGTTTTCAAAAGTGTTGCTATGTTGATGGTTTAGAGCTTAAACTATAGATATTTCAGAGGGAAGTCAGTAGTGAACTCATTCCTGAGACCACCTTTCTCTACATGGGTTTCAAGTGCACATTTCATGTTTTGATTTGATGTTGAACTCCTTAGTAGAATCAATCTGAAGTTCTGAACTTCCAATTTTATTATTATTATTATTATTATTATTATTATTTACTTTACTAGGATAAGCATGTTATGTGAGGGTTGCCTCTGTAGATTGCCAGTCCCAAGGTCTTGTTGGACCTTGACTTCAGCTGATGTGGCTCCTAACTCCACACATGATACAAACAATTCTTCACATGCCTTAGAGTCTCCTGCTTGCTTCTGAGGAGCCCCTTAATCTTTGGACTGATTTGCACACAAATTTTAAATTTCTAATTTACTGTGATTAATTTAGAGCTTATAATGTTTGCCATACAAAAGCCACTTGCCTTCTATGGCAAACATGTTTTTAAATAATGTTTAAAAAATAATGAGATCATGTTTTTTTAAAAAAAATGAGTATTCATTGTTTCTAACTGCAATAACTGGATCACATTTTAAAAATTCATTTGTGTTGAAAACTTTCAATTTATACTTCCTGGTATGCTAGATGAATATATATGGTATTTGAGAGAATTCCCCTGGTGCTCTGCAAAAGTAATAGCTAGTACTTTTAAATTTCATATTTAATATTACTCAAATTTGATTCCCTGAATTTAGCCGTGATCCATCCAAAGTTTTATTTTTTTTTAAATTTTATTTAAAAGGAAAAAGAGAAAAAAACAAAACAAAACAAAGCGGTGTAAGGGTACAAGTAATACAGAACTACAAAAACAAAACAAAACAAAACAAAAAACAAACAAAAAAACAGTAAGAAATACCAGTTAATAGATTATACATTATCGTCTTAGACATAGTTGCTCAAGTCACAGTATCAAAGCATACAAAGTGGACATTCAAACAGAGAGACTGCAATCAGTTGTGTTCAATGATCCAACCAAAAACATTAATATGGTCAGCTATTTAACACCCCTAAACACACTTGCAGTTGCATCCTTTAGAGCACTTTTTTCCCCCTCTCTTTTTTACAACAAAATTTACACATTTTGGGTTTTATTACTCCTTGGTTCTTATTACTTTTTTTTGGAAGAGAATAAAGTCAAATATGGCAAAACAACGCTGTCAGTCAAAACCAAGGATAGACATAGTACATGATGTAAAAACAGAGTACAAGGTTATCAACAATGGTTACCATAATGCCTCTTGCTTCCTTAAAAAGAATTGGCTATCACATTAGGTATTATAAAGTTGAACAAAACAGTAGAGAACAAGACCAATAAAACTTAAACATTGTAAACATTACAGGACTTCAAAAGGAGATAATAGTCAAACCAGAATGGGCATCTTAGTGAATCTTATTGCCTTCAAAGTAGTTGCCTATACCCTCAAACTTGATACTATCATACAGAACGGAATACAATCTAATCAGTCAAAACAAGATAGTGGGAGTATTACAGGACTTCAAATCAAGTTAATAGGAAATCATAAAAAGTTACTATAATATATCCTGCTAATTTTTAAAAAATTTCCCCTTAATTAAAAAAACCATAAAAAATAACTAAATAATTTTTTTAATGAATAAGGGAGAGATTGAGATAAAAGAGGACATAACAACATAACAATACAGGTCAAAGCCTGACTGTTTCAGCAACCTAGTGCTTTACCACCAAATAACCCAACTTAATAGTAGTTACCATAGTCTCTGTCTTTTTCCTTGAAATATTTGAATATAACTTCATATACTATAGCTTTAAGTATTTCCATATCAAGAAGCCCAGAATAAAGCCTTTCCAATTAATAAGTGAAAACTTTATAAGGCTTCAAGGCCACATAATGGGGAATCATGATTACCACATACTTTTATAGATTTGAATCATTACTTACATTAGGGGAAACAAAAAAGCTGATCTTGTCACACTCAGTTCCCTTAAAACCATCATGCCTAAAATGAGTTGGTATTTTCCTTAATTCATCAGGTTGGATGTGGGCACTTTCAAGTGACAAATTTTAGCCCAAAGATAAGAAACTATATTTTAGAAAGTCTACATTTAATAGAGAGTTGTTTGGATTTTCTGAAATGTGAAAACTACGAGACACCTCCCTGCTATTAATGCTTTCGAAGAACTTGCTGGCTTTTTAGTCTGCACAGATATTTGAGACAGTAGAGGGTCCACTGAATTATGGGAAATCGTATCCAGTGTTTATGTTGTGATTTCCTAGTACTGGGCTATCCACAAAGATCTACGAGCATCAGAGAGAAAGTGGCATGAAAAGGGAAGGGAAGTCCCATGTAGAATCTAAGTCCTCAGGCATTTGGAGAGGTCCTCATGCTATCAGCCAAAGGTGAGCTGCACCTTGAGTCTTGACTGTTTCAGAAGGGTGCCTATGATTATACCTACAACCATACTCCTAGTTTCTCTATGCTAAGGTGATATTTCATCTGTCCTTCCATGACAGCTTTTTTGACATCCAAGCAGCATTCTGTCCACAGGTACACCGAGTGATTCACTTTGACATGCTTTACAGGGTTCATCTAATCCCTTCCATGGGCTAGAAACTTTATCAGTTGTCCAAAATTCCAGCACTTTGTATTATTTTTTTGTTTAAATTCGGTGGATAACTCATGGTGAAACTCATACATTCTTTACAAAGTTCAGATTTCTCAATTTTCCATGTCCTGTCAATACATTGCTACATTTTCAGGTGATACAAGAAAAATAAATTGATAGAGTACACATAATTGTAAGTTCCTTCTAGTATTAACATTTTTCATTCTGAAGCCTTGTCCTGAGATGGTAACACTGACATCTTTTCTCCAACAAATATTTAGACCATCCTCATGGCTTATGAAAAATCAAAACCAGCAAGAAATTGGGGGAAAATACCCATTAAGACAAAAGGATTTAATTTAACAAATGCTGGTGCCTTTGAGCAACATGATGGGAAAATGCCAAGTCCAGTGGGGATCCTTTTGAAAGCAGTTTTAAGACTCACTTCATGAGCTACATATAGAAAAGTCCCATGAATTTCTATCCAATTCTCCAGGAAACTGCCATTACAGTCTGGGAGGGGACTGTTACAGTAAAGGGCAGGGCAGGTTATGGAAAAGTGCCTTTGTAAGTTTTAAAATGAGCTTTACATCTAATGCAAACAGTCGACGACTGCAAAGAAATAAATACGTTTTATATTCAAAAAATTCTTAAGATTTTGCAATATTTATTTTATCTTGATGGCTTTCTCTAGAGCTGCAGAAGCTGAGATTGATATCTGTTGGGAAAACTGTGCTTCCAATATGCTCTTCAATTTGCTCCTGTAGCAATTTAGTCAAACAACCTGCTTGGAAATAATCTATGTGCCAAAGATAGGTGGGGAAAAGCCTGTCAGTTTCTGTAATTCACGGAGCAGGTTTTGGCTCCCACTCTCCAATCCATCTTAAACAGTGGCTACTGCCCTGCATCTAGCAATTCATATGATCAAGCAATTTAGCACAGAAAGAGAAAGGCCTCGCAACTTGGCATCCCCGTGGACATTTATCTGAGAAAACCAAATGGATCCAACTTTTGCCAGAGTTTAATAGCAAAGCTGTCACATTTTACACAAATGAGTCCGGAGACTGTTAGCGAATGGAAGGAGGGCAGGAGGGGGAGGGAAGAAGAGGTAGGGCTGCTGACTGGACTGTTGGTTAAGCGGCTCCAGGGCGCTAGATCTTAGGGAGTGGCTGTGAGGCTCATAGCAGGGGAGATGAAGTGGTTAAAAAATATTCCCAGCGAGGGGCAGGGACCTAAGGATGTGGGTATATAAGACCGCGCCGCCAGCGCAGAGCCGCCGCTACTGCTGCGTGAGTCAGGACCAGGGCGCAGGAGCTCAGCCGTCCAGTACCCAGAGGCCAGGGACAGAAGCAAAGGACAACAGACCGGTTCAGGCTGGGGCTCCTGCTGCACCTCTGGAACAGGCACAGGACTCCCTAACTTCCATCTCCTGCCCCCAAAACGCGCACCCGCGGGGTTGTGCGCCCTAGCCCAGCACCCCCGCGCGCGGCACAAGCACGCCTGCACGCAGGTCCCACACCAAGGCGATGCGCGCAGGAGTCCAGGCACCTGGCCTGGGGCGGAGGGAGTAGGGCTCGGAGGGAGGCAGGAGGCTGCAGGGTTAGAGAAGCGGGCGCAGGGCCCTCAGCTGCGCGACACCTGCTGCTGCAGCCTTGCCGGGATGCTGCGCGCGGTCTCCCTGCTGCTGGGCGCCGCGCTGCTCTGCGGCCCCGGAGCCTTCTGCCGCCGGGTCGTCAGTGGTAAGTCTGGGGCGCCCGCCGAGGGGCGACGGGGCCAGAGACTGCGCGACGCTGAGGGGCAGCCTGTCCCGGGGAGGAAACTCTCGGGGTGGGGAGATACGACGGTTGTGGGGCTGGCAGGAAGCGCGGAAAACCCGATCTTGCTATTCTTTGCCTTTGCACCCAAAAAGAGCGAAAAGTTTGATTTCCCCCACCCCCTCCCCATGTGCCCTAGTCAGTGGCTACGCAGCAAACTCCAGCTTGATCCTATCCTGTCAGCCTTTCCCACTTTCTTTGTGAGACAATTGACGGAGAGGCAGAGCTGGGCACCTGGAAAAGGGGTGGGGTAGACGCAGCCAGGAACAGAAAACCCGCAGCAGAAATGCTCCCCGTCTTGGCCAGGGATCCATTTCACGGGAGTGATTTCTGGAACCAGCCTGTGCACCGTGGGGCTCTCCAGGACGCCTGGTTACACAGCCTTTGTTCTCAGCCGGGCTGGGAAAGAACGGGGTGCAGGTTAGTGTGCTCAGGTGCCTTAGCTTCCCACACCTCATTCCAAGTTAGCGACGTCTCAGAAATTGAAGTCAGTTACCGCTGGATGGAGTGTACTGGGGCGTGACTGAAGGTTCGAGCATACAAAACGTGCACAGTTAAATCTGTCAAATCAGTGCAAGGCCAGTGGATTAAAACGAGCAAGCTTGCCAGCGTTGTCTCTGGTTTTCATTTTCAGCAATCACTGTCTTGCTGTGGAGCAGTTTATATTGCGTCCACTTTCGCTTACTTTTAGGAAGGGGAAAGTCTCTTTAAAAGGATGTAGATTCTCAATGAATGTGATTTAGGGACTTTCAGGAGGGACCATCGCTACCCTTATAGAAATATATTGCTGGGCTCATTAAAGTGTTCCAAAAACATGTGTGGGATGCGTGTGGGCACGTGTTTTAAGGGTGAAAAGATTCTTTTTACATAAAAGCAACACAAAGCCCTGTTCCTCATTTGTACATTTGCACAACAGGTGTCACTGGATGCAGAGATAAGTGATAGATGGCACCAGCTTAATCAGTTGTGAAGCTGGACCTTTAGAAACTGCCATATTCGACTTAGTTGCTACTGGCCTTCCCCTAAGCGATTCCAGGGTATCCAGAGTATCCAGGGAATACCAGGGTATTCCACATGGTCAGAATAAAATTCTCCAATAGTCTTCAGTCACACCCCACTTACTTTTTTTCAGGTTGTACAGAAGCAACATTAGATCCTCTCTTCTCTAATTTAGCTAAGAGTTAAAATGTTAAACTATGTAAACCTATCTGACAATGCAAATTACACACCTAGATGCCTTTGTTTTTAGCATTATTCATGCAAATGAATGAACAGCAATGACCAGGCTGTGAACATAAATGTTTTCTTAAACGAATAAAATCATGTCAATGACTTAATATTCTATTGGCTATTGGTGTATTCTTGTTTACATCCCTTAAAAGAGAAAAAAGATACCTTCAGCAAAAACATAACTAATTGTTGATGAAAAGTATTTAGTGTTCTGTGAAAACATAAATTACTCCAAATGCTTTGCTGCATTTTTCTATTAAAAATTTAAAACATCTTGAAGGTGACATCTGGAAAATTTCTAAGTAACTGAACATGAGCTATTTGATTTAGCATAAATGATGGTGTTTACTTGATATTAAAAGGATTACCTAGTTATGTTTTTCTTATGAATAATTCAATTGTCATTAGGCATAAAACTCACATTGAAGCTTAACCATTTATAAATTAATTTGTGACTCTTATGCTCTGAATAGTAATTTTTCACATTTCAGCTGCGATGGGCTGTGCAGACAGTAACCTAAAGCATAACACATTTGGAACAATGCTTCCTCAAAGTCTCCGTCTTCCTGGTGGATTTAAGTTTTTACTGGTGCAGCAACCTTGCTCTGCCGCTAGGGACCTTTTAGCAAATCTTTCAGGAGCATGAGCAAAAGAGTGAAACAGTCTTTCTGGGACATTTCTTTGGAAGATACTTACAACATGTGGTATAAAGATTTTAGTTATCACGTTTCAGAGCAACAGTTTATAATTTCTATTTAACATTCTGAAATAATCACTTACCTGCCCTTTCCACAAATAGGTGTTCACAAAATAATTCTCCATAGAAATTCTTTGTTTTAATACCTTAAAATATTCAATAAGATAATTTTCAACACATAACATTTTAAAAGTTCAGGTCATTATTTAAAAATAAGATGAAAATATTTTAGCAAGTAATAACATTCCAAATAACTTCATCATCATCTGGCCCATCAGACCTAATAGTATTTAATAGCTGTGCATGGCATAATATTTGATTTTCTAGTACAAATAAGAAAGGATTTTTTCACATGAAAAAGAAATAAGACATATAACCAGAATAATGATAGTGAAATTATATTTAATAAGATTATTACTAATTGGAAAACTACTTTGAAGAGCTTAACTTGGACTGATTTCTTACTGCAAATAGATGTTTAGAGAATATCTGTGGGGGCTGGAATCATTTAATTTTATGAACTAACATGTAACAACATCTCTTTTAGAACAAAGATAAGAGGATTTTACTCATGTTGTATAGATAAATATGAGAAAGAAGGGTTTAAAATTCAGGTTTCAATTGGGAAGATATATTTGAAGAGAATATTTTTTTAAAAATTTGTGGTATTTTGAATTATAGTGTTTCCTTCTCCTCTTCCTCATTTGCATTTAAAATTTTCCTTTTCGTGTGCACAGGTGTGGTCCCCAACTCTATTGATACTGCAAAACAGTATTTTGTGTATTTTATGGCACATCTGTCTAGACACTTTTATATGTGTGAGTTTAACCTTCCTATGTGGCATACATTTCATGGGTGATTTAATGTCCTTCTACCATATAGCTGACATAGGCTATTGCCATTTCATGGATAATAAGTAGCCTCTATATTAATATAATACAATAGCAAGAAAGACATAAGAAAAAAAAAACTGCTGGACATGTCTCAGTGCATGGAAATTTCCATGACATCATCAAAAGTGTAAAATGATGACAGTGCAATTTTCAAAGACGCAATCACTTTAAGTATCTCTTGCGCAAGAATAGAATAAATTAACCTTATTTCTAGTCACTTAAGAAATTACTCATTTATCATTGCCTTTTTTCCTCCGCTATTGTCATCATTTTATGATTTTGCTTTTACAACTTTTTCCTGAAAATGGAAAAAGCTATACATTCATGTTAGAAAAGTAGTTTTATGTAAAGGGGTCCACACAGGAAGGCCAGTCAGTGCTTCACTAATAATTTTTACTGTTTACCATGACCTACTCTGCCAGGTGTTTATAAACAGGTGGGTGGGTGTGTTGCATCTATAGGGTAAGTCTGTTGCTTTCAGTGTTTAACATATTACTGTTGATGTAACACAGCCTAACAAACTGAGTCTATTTCTGATACATCCTGAAAAGTTGACTATAGTTTGATTCTGTATTGGGAAAAGCATTCAGTCTTGTCCTGATTTATTTTACTTGGAAAATAAAAGAAACAGATAAAAAACAAATGTTAAAGGCGTATAGTGTTTAAAAATCCAATATTCTGACATTAACTGTTTTCTAAATATTCAGCAAAAGAAAATCCAAACCCTACCTGGAAACAAGTTCTCAGTGCATACCCTCACATATATTAGCACTCATTAATCAATAAGTGATCAGTGTTTACAATGGTTTATATCTGGATGTCCTCCCCACCTCCAAGCCTTGTGTGTTCTTAGGCAGGGGAAAGTGATTCCACCATCAGAATGAAATAGCTAACTGTGATGTTTAAGAGGTGGGGACTGTTCAGAAAAGGCCAGTCAAAGGGGATGTGACCTGGCAGGATGCCACTGCCTCCCGGGATCCTCCATGCACTCTGCAGCCTGCTACCATGATGAAGTGAGCAGCTTTTTTGGAAGTCATGGTGGAACATGACTTCCTGCTTTGGAATCAGCAATCTATGGGTTAAAACTATGAGCCCAAAACAATTCTCTCCTCCTTTAAAGTGAGGGCATCAGGTATTTATTACTGGCAATGAGAAAATTTTCTAAGACATTGTTAGTGATTATATTAGTGATTGTACCATGGTTGACAAGCAGAGTGCTTATATTCAACAATTTTTTTTTGTTCATGAACTATACCATCATTGTGTTATGTCACAGGTATGGAGTCAGCAGAGAAATCAGGGTAAGTGATCGCAGAGCAAGGCAGCCTTGTTCTAAGTGTCTGATTTTGACACTTGTGAGCTGTGTGAACTTGGGAGAATTATTAAACTTTTCTCTGCCTGCTTTGTCTCTTTTAGAAGTTACTTAAGAATATGAATGTCACAGGCTTCTGGGAAGCTTTAAACAATTATACAAGTTGCTTGCCGCACACAAGAACATGGTAAGAGGACAAGCAAAGGACATTGTCCTGCCAAGCCCTGTGGTCAATAAGGCTTCCTAAAAACAAAGGCAACTTTTTCTAGTTGAATAGTTGTCTGAGTTACTTTCCTCATTGCTGAAACAAAATATCCAGCACCCACAAGGTAAGGGAAGAAAGTTTATTTAACTGATAGCTTGTAAAGGCTTCAGTCCATAATCAGCTGGCTCCACGGCAGGGTGCCACATGGCAGAAGGGCAACGTTCATGGCATTAGCAGCAAAGGGAGGAGAAGACAAGGCTCTTGCTGTTCCTTGTATTGTATGTGGGCTGCCTGCCCTGGGATGGGTGTAGTACTCACACCCTTAACCCTGGCCAGAACTGTGCAAAACCTCAGTGAACTGATTTACCAGTCAGACACCCTTATTCCCACCATCACACATTCTAGATTCAGCCACTTCTGAAAAAGCCCTTTGACCTTAGGTAGGTGACAGCTAGCAGAAACTATAACAATAGTTTTCACAGGAAACCTTTTAATATATCCCATGGGAGAGGTCATGTTTTCCTGATTTACTAAAATATATGGATTCCACTAGAAGTGAGGTCTTGTACCCTTAAGTTATTGATAGAT